GCATCCTCACGAGGTGATCCAGAGGATGGAGGTCCAGCGGAGAAGAATGATGCAGCATCCCACGTAGGTGGCTGAGGAAAGGCCGATGGAAAAGGCTCTGGCCAGCCTGGGTCCCCCTGAGGGAGGGAGGGAGGGAGGGAGGAGGCGGGGGGGCAAAGACCTCAGAGAGAATCTTCTAAGAGTTGGGTAAGAGTGGAGAGCGAAACACATTGGGGGGGGGGTTTCCTCTTACAGCTGCCTGGACGGAACTCAGCCCGTCTCCCTCTGTGGTCTCCTGTGCCTTGGGAGGCCCAAAGCCAAGTCCCTGCTCGGCTCTCTGGGGGACCATCCTGACCCGCCTCCCAGGGTTGATGTGTGGATAAAGTACAGAAGAGGGAAAGCGCTCCTTTAAAGTCCTCAGGGGGTGGGGGGGGGAAGAGTCTGGGATCTTCACACCACTCATCGTTATGGAAAATTAGGAACGGCTGGAAGTAATTTGCCAGGCGGTACCCTTTCGTGCCACCCTTCCTTCCAGGAGGTCAGCCCTCGGCCCACGGGGATCTGCCCATCCACGAGAGGCCAGATGACCTGAGACTCACAGGTCTAGGAGGTCAGAGGATGTGAACGGGGGGGGGGGAATGCGACTGACGCACCCTTCCATGACGGGGAGAAGATTTCTGCCTCCAGAGTGGGCAGTGACCTTTTGCTCCCTTGCAGGCGAGCCCACGAGCGGCCCCCGCCCCATCCTCACCGGATGCATCCCAACTATGGCCACGGGCACCACATCCACGTGCCTCAGACCATGTCTTCGCACCCGCGGCAAGCGCCAGAGAGGTCTGCCTGGTGAGTAGAGACCTGCCGGCCCTGGACCGGCCGACCACAGAGAAAGGGGTCCGGACCTCTTGTGCCTTGGAAGGAGTCCGGTGGGCAAAGGGTCTGGCTCAAGACAAGGCGGCTTCCTTGGCCGCTGGCGTTTTTATCGCTGGAGACCCAGGATTCGAGCACCCCAGAGAGACGTCACCATTCCGGCTGCTGGGAGAGAATGTTGCCTCTAGGAGGATGAGCGAGGAAGGCTCCCTTGGGCTGCCCTGAGCGAGGAAGACTCCTTGTTCCAACTGAAGGTGACCTTTCTGCTCCCCTGACAGGGAACTGGGACTGGAAGCCGGAGTGACGGCCGCCACCTACCCACCGGGCCCATTGCACCCTCACTTGGCACACTACCACACCCCTCCTCGACTCCACCACTTGCAGATCGGTGCTCTTCCTTTAATGGTAAGGAGAACCCGTGCGAAGCTACGGCCCCTGCGGGGCTCCGGGGCGACATCCGCTCGAGGGGTGCCTGCCGCACGAGCGCCCTTGGGAGTGGGGGAGAGAGTGAGAGAGAGAGCCCCAAGGGGATCAGGCCTACTCAAGAAAGAGTCTTCTTTGGGAACTTGGCTGTGTAAGGAGGGCATCCTACCCGAAAGGGACGCCTCGTGAAGTTTAGGCATTTCACATGTCTGACTTGAAATCCATTCCCCTGCTAGACGCTGACCCTCTGCCTCTGGTTTTATTTTGGCTTCCTTCTGCAACTAGCTTCTGATCCCCCCCCCTCTCTCTTACTACGCACAGATTATTTTTCTTCCAAGTGCTGCTGCTTCTGTCCCATTTCAAATGTGATGGAGGTGGAGGTTTGAGTTTGGGTGTCCCCCCCCCCTTTTCATACCATGAGCAGGCTTGTCCCTAGTGGCAAAAAGAGCAAGAGAAGACCTCGAAGCTAGAAGGAGGAGTTCTCCCAAAACAGCCCCTTAACAGCCACACAGCCTGTTTTGTATGAAATATGAAAGAAGCCGAGAGGGGCCTCAGAACCCAGAACCCATGTTCCCTCTGCCTCTGCGTATGGAGCAGGACTCCTTTGCTCTCAGAGGGTGACGCGTTTTAGGGAAAGCAAAGGGAGAAGCCATTTGTGATCTGGGCTGTACTTCTCACTGCGCTGAGTGCAGCTCAAGAACTTTCTCCAGGGACATGACTCTCACGGGCTTGTGCTCCCGAGGTAGACAGGGGAAACTGGGAAATTCTCGCAGCGAAAACATGGCATGCAAGCTGTCCCCTCAAGTTTTATTTGGCCGGTTGGTGGGGGATGCTGAAAATGAATGCAACGGGACTCTGTTTTTCTTCGAGGTGAAGAGGAAAATACTGGACTTAACTCTGTTCTGCTCTTTGAATAGGTTCCTGACATGGCAGGCTACCCTCACATCCGCTACATTTCATCGGGATTGGATGGAACTTCATTCAGAGGCCCTTTCAGGGGCAATTTTGAGGTTTGTAGCCACATAAACCTGGCTTTGTGGCAGAACATTTGCTTGCAGGGTGGAGAGTGTGTGGGGCAGAATGAGGTGGCAAATGGAGGGGGGGGTTTCTCACCTTTTTCCTGTGCACCGCCCTCCCCCCCCCCTGCCCAGCCCTGCCTGTGCCTTGGGAGCAACCTCACTGCTAGAAACCGGCAGCTGGAGGTGCGGGGGGGGCCACTGTGGGAAATAGAGACCCTCAGCACGAGGCGGGTACTGCTAGAAACTGGCAGCTGGAGGTACGGGAGGGGGGGCCACTGTGAGAAACAGAGACCCTCAGCACGAGGCGGGGCTGCTGGATGGAGGTGGCTGGGGATTCCCCTTGAAGAAGGACGAGGAAGCGCAGCCGCGCTTGTGCGGTTACGGTCCCGTTACTTGGACGGCTGGTGCAAGAAGCATCTTGGGCTTAAGTGGGAGGACGTGACCCGGCTGCTCCCCAGTCAGGTGAAGCGACGGGTTGTGGAGCCCCTCTGCATCCTCCAGGAGCCCCCTGAAGGCGGCGGCAGGGCCGGCAGAGTCCTTTCTAAGGCGTTTCAGAGGGCTCGCCTCTGGATGGGGGCCATGGTCTGAGGAGCTCTGTGAGCCCTGGAGGTGGCCGGCCCAGGCGGGACCCTTTCGTGACATTAGAGTAACCCCAAGGGGTCGGGGTCAGCCAGAAGCAGCCGGAGGGGCCAGGAACAGGTCTCACAGGCCGGATCGCAGTCTGGTTGGAGAAGGCGGACCCGTCGACATGTTGCTTCTCAAAGCACGAGGGTGTGCGAGTTAAGCAAGGAGAGGTAGCTTGGGCCGGGTTGTACTTCTGGCACCAAAGAGATCACATTCTTGCGATTCCTCCTTGATCGCAGGAGTTAATCCATCTGGAAGAACGCTTGGGAAATGTGAACCGCGGCGCCTCCCAAGGAACCATCGAAAGGTGCACGTATCCACACA